GCTCCGCCCATGACAGGCCTCCCCCACCCACCCAGGGCCTGGCACCCGCCAGCTCCCCCAAGGACAGGCCACCCTCCCCCAGGGGCTGGTTCCCGGTGCTCCCTGTGGGAAGGGCTGAGCCCAGCCCACTCGCTGCATGAGTGAGCCTGGGCCGTCACCTGCTTGGTCCTGCGCGGCGCGGGGCTGCTGGGGGCGCTGCTCTTGGGCTGGCACAGTGGAGCCGCCAGCTGGTCCTGGGGGCGCTCAAAGAACTCGGCCCGCAGCACAGGGAAGCTGTCGTAGCTGTGGGGGAGCAGAGAGGCCATCAGGGGGCAGCTGGGGGGAGGGGGGGGGGGGGGGGGGGGCGGGGGGGGGGTCTCACCAGTAGAGTGCAGGCAGCTCGGTGCCATCGGGGCCCAGGGGTTCCTCGGGGGGCATGATGAAGACCGTGTGCTCGCTGCCGTGCGAGTCGTCCAGCTCCATCAGGGGTGTGTCCTCAGCCTTCTCCAGATCCACCTGCACCTGGGGAGGGGAGGGCAGCTCAGGGTGGGGGCCGGCACGTCCCCCGGAACACCCTCCGGCTGGGAGCTCCCTGCCCCCGACAGGGCCCCCTGGGTCTGCCCCCCCGCAACACTGGCCCTGGTCTGGGAGCCGCCTGAGCCCCCGCCTGGTCCAGTCACAGGAGTGGCTGGGTCCAGGCCCCCCAGCCCCTTGGGATGGGGCCTGCGGGGTGAGTAGGATCTGTGGCTGAGCAAGTTGTGGGGACAGCCCTTGGGTGGAGGGGTGGGGCACTGCAGGGGTGCCGGAGAGGGGTGGGGTGTCATCAGGGGGCAGGGACGGGGAGTTAGGGGCATCAGGGGGCAGGGGCGGGGCGTTGCTAGGGGTGTCAGGGGCAGGGTGTTGCTAAGGGCAGGTGTCGGTGGCAGAGGCAGGGCATTGCTGGGATGGGGCGTTGCTATGGGTGCCAGGGGCTAGGTGTTGCTAAGGGCGGGGTATTGGGGCAGGGCATTAGGGGTGTCAGGGGCAGGGGGTCGCTAGGGGCGAGGCATTGGGTGGGGCGTCACTAGGGGCGGGGCGTCACCTTGTCCACACAGGTGTCAAAGAACTCCAGGCAGGCGTGCCGGTCGCTGACGAAGGAGCACTCGTGGATGAACTGCGTGAAGAGCTGCGTGCGCAGCAGCTGCCCGTAGAACTTGTGGTAGGCGCGGTCCCGGGACTTGAGGAAACCTGGGGGGGACGGCGGGAGGGGGTCACACGGGAGCTCAGCCCCCTCCCCCCCGCCCCGCCCCCCCCGGGTTGGCGCCCCCTCACCCTGCAGGGAGAAGAGGCTGCTGGAGTCGTGGGTGGTGTCGCAGGGCGCCCGGGTGATGGGCAGCAGGAAGGAGCGGTAACCCTTCAGCACACAGGCCATGAACCGCAGGAAGGAGGCCTGGATCTCCAGCTCCAGCTGCTTGCGCCGCCCGTACACCAGGTCGTAGTCGGTGAGCAGGAACTCCAGCGACGCCTCCTCCACCGGCTTGTTGTACACTGGGGGGAGCGGCGGGGTTAGCACGGCCCCCCCAGGCTCCCCGCCTCCCAGAGCTCCCCCCCAGCTCCCCACTCACTCTCATCCAGCTGCTGGAAGTGGGCGAGCAGCGCAGCCTGCAGCACCTTGCAGGGCCGGCGGGGCAGCGCGCGGGGCGACAGCAGCTTCCTCTCCTCGCTCCTGGCAGGGGAGACAGAGACGAGCACAAAGCCGGGCTGCCCTCACCGTTAGCGCCTCCTGCTGGGCTGCCCCGGCCCCCCGCTCGCCCTCCCTGGCCCAGCGCCGAGACGCAGCCGCTTCTGGGCTGGGGCCGCGTTAAGGGAAGGCCGGCCAAGGGCCCGGCGGGAACTTGGCCAGGACACCGGGGTTCCGCCCGGGGACACGCCCAGGAAGACGGACGCGGCGGCTGGGGAGGGGGCCGGGCCCAGGGGAACTCACAGGAAGATGGTGTTGGTGTCAAGGTCGACACAAATGACGTCGCGGGGCGGGTCGTGCAGGTCGAAGTAGCTGGAGTGGATGCCGACGATGAAGGGCACCGGGGCGCACAGCACGTCCGCCAGTGTCAGCGGGCACAGCGGGATGTAGGGGCACTGCCAGCGCAGCGGGAAGATCATCTGGGGGCGGGGTAGGGAGAGAGGAGTCAGCGAGCCGAGGGGGCGGGCCCCACTGCCCCACTGTCCCCCCCCCCCGGGGGCCGGACTCACGGAGACGAGCGCCTCGCTCACGCTGGTCAGCACATCGGGGCGCAGTGAGTGGATCAGCAGCTTCTGCTCGGTCAGCACAGCCAGCAGCAGCGTCACGGCGTTCTCGGGGCCCAGGTTCTGCAGCAGGGTCAGGAAGCTGGCTCCGCTGGGGGGCAGAGGGGGGCAGAGCATGTAGAATCCAGACAGCACAGAACCCCCTCCTCCCCCACCCACAACGCAGCCACGGCCAGAGGGGGCACTGCCCGTCCTCCCCACATCACCAACGGGACCCTGAGCCCCTGATCGTCCCCCCAGGCTGCCCCGACCACCCCCCCGGGGCTGTACCTGAGTGGCAGCGGGGAGGACACGGGCTGGCACAGCAGCAGGTTATCGTAGGGAGACATCTGGGGGAGAGACGAGATTGATGGCGTAGTCGGCTTCCCCA